TCGAAGAGAACGACCCTTTGCGACGTTCTGAAATCGGCGAAATAAACGCCGCGTCAGCCTCGACACAGAGCCAAAAGGGTTAAATCCCGCCACGCGTTTGGAACTCTGCAAAGGGGAGTATTCGCCGTGTATTAAATAAGTCGATCAATGGGAAAGGGCGCCGAACATCGAATGCACCCATCGCCATCTTTGAGCCCTATCAGCGAAAGAGACCGGAACATCCCTTCCCGCGACCTTAACTCACTCCACCCGCTCAACCACGGGTTACGATAAATCCCAAGTCTGGACAAATTTTGTTGCACGGATATCAACGATTCATCCGCGGGTGCGCCTTTCCCGCCGACGTGGCCGCCGCCCTCTCGGCGGCACGCGAGGCGACCGAGCCAGGGGGTGGTCCATTCGGGGGTGGTTCCTCGAGCTCGGCGGATCGGCGACCCCGGCGGCGGAAATTCGACTATCGATTTAATCGAGATACGCTCCGGCGTGGCAGTCGGTGGAGATAATTTACGCGAGCCGTCGAGATATCCCGGGCCGTGGCCCCTGGCCGGGCGCGGGGGCGCGGGGGCGCGGGGGGCCTGCAGCCCGCCAGGGCTGTACACCGGGCCAGGGGTGTACCTCCGGCGCGGTGCATCGAAGGGGTGGATTCTCGGGTCAGTGGCCTCCCGTAACATTGAACCACCCCGCGGCCGAGCCGAGCCGCGACGCAGTCACGGGCGACGGCCCGACGCCTGCCGGGCCGCGCATGCGCGCCGCGCTCGACGCCGAACCTGGGCCCGGCGAGGCCGTCCAGACGCTTCGATCCCCCGTCCCCCTTCGAGATGCGCCCCGGCCGAGGTGGCTTTCGGGTGGCTCTCGTTGCAATTTCTCCGTTCCTTTTTCCAGAATCGCTACACCCCTTCTTGTATCCACCCCGAGGCATCTCCGAGAATTGTGATAAAAAGTAATGGGGTTAAACGCGGTACCCATGCGAGCTGATGCGGTAGGGTATTGTGTATTGTTAAACCCAGCCGAGTATTTGTATATAAGTTTTCATTGGCAGGCAGCCGTCATATGACTGATATATCATATCGTCATATCGTCATAATATCGTCGTATGATATTCGATGAGATTTAATCACTGTTAGGAATTTAAAACCGTGCACGTGGTGTTTATATGAACACGTTTCTCCCCATTCTCGATAAAAAAAAATATTTACCGGGGAGGTGTAAGTCTTTAAATATTTTTATGTGTGCAGAGTATATGTACGTAGCTGGGGAGGAAGGAGTAGAGTTACAATTTGCGATGACACGGTTTAATATATTTTCCTTCTCGGTGTGGGTATGAATTTAGGTGCCAGACGAGGCCCGGGAGAAATTAAAAAACAAGAGGGATCGAGTGCACTCGAGTCCCGGAGCGCCGGCTCCCGAGGGAGCGAGGGTCGCGCCCTCGGGGGTGCCCGGGGATTCTCGAGGGAAAGGGCTCCTCCCCGCGAGGGGGAAAATCGAAGGAAACGCCGAGGCGACGGAAAATCCGAAACGTCGGGAACGATAACTCGCTCCTGGGGGCGAGGAACTTTGCGGAGCCCCTGAACTCCCGATTGTCCCGGAAACACGGCGAAGTACCGGGCACAGGAGGTACCGGTAAACCGTGCAAATCTCTCGACTAAGTTCCAACTACTTCCGGTATCTCCGGAACTTCCGGGTCCTCGGCTCTAATCGGGGCCCGCCACTCGGGAACGCCCTTTCGTCTCGCAACTTGCAACGACCACTTAAACGGACCTGGGAGAGCGATTATTAAAGTGCGCCCGATTTTGGGGCACCCCACTAGATCCGGGATCAGCTGACGAGAAATAAGCGAAGGCGCTACTCGTTTTCACGCCGAAGGCCTTATCGGGGCGTTCTTTGCAGCGCCCTGATACGGCTTCGCGGGGGGGCGATCGGTGGTGGAGCAACATTTGGGATTGGAATCGAGGTCGACGGGCTCCCGGCATTAGCCTCGTTAAGGTTACCTTCCCGTGGTTCGGAGTCCACATTAAGCTATAAAACACCCCCGTGTCTGTGATTTCGCTCCAAATGCCCTAATACAGCAGAGTAGCTCCCCCGTTCCGTCCTAACCACGAAAGGCATAGAATTATCAATATTAAATTGCATCCCAAATTTATCCCCATATTAGATTTAATGCAAGATTTAATTATCGTTACGTTTAGTATCATTAAAATGATTATAGGTTACGGCGAACACCAATCGTCCTCCAAGGGCGAAAGGATGTAAGGAACCTGAATATCCCGAAGGAGGAGACTCTTATCTTCCTCCCTCGAGCGGTCACCCATCCGCTGCGCGGCCGGCCCCGGTGTCGCTTAACGTGGCGAGTTTCCTCAATTACTTATTTACCCCGTGGCGAGGCAAATCCCCCGATCGGGTCGTAATTCCTCGAGGGTGCCACGAGGCGACTGACTTACGGGGGTGGAAACGGTCTCCCCTTCGGATTTCCCCGTCTCCCTCGGAAGAGTCCTGCCCGATGGCGCCGGACGGGACTTAGGGGTTCCGCGATTTCGGTGCCGGGAATTAAGGTTCCCTTCGGGAGAGAATCCCTCTGCGTGATAAGAGATAGGGGAGGGGGGGGGCGAGCACTCAGGGGCTCGGGGGGTGCAAACCGGCAGTGCCGTGCAACGAATGGAGATCGATTCCGAGTCTGGGTCAGCCGAGGACGTTCACCCCCGTTGCAGCCCGGGAGAGACACGGTGCCCAGGGTCGTAACTAGGGGTTGCGAGCCCGCCGCGCCGGGGTGCAACGGACGAGCAACCCGCCGGCAACTCCCGGGCTCGGGGAACGACCCTTCCAGAAGCTCCCCCCGAGGGTCCGCGAGTCATCCACGCGGAGGGGTTTCCTCGAGTCTCCCTCGAATTAAAAGAAAAGTAATCTCAAAAACCGATATCCGTGTCTTAGGAGTCTGGGGGTGGATTCCGTTCGGTTCCTCGAGCGAATTCGGGGAAACTAACCTCGAAGGGGCTTTAAGGGTGGCGCTTTTTTAATAATTTTAGTACTCCTTTTAGGGCTCTCTGTTGGGAATTATGGGGAGGTGACTCGGAAATGGGATCTCTTTTTTCTTTTAAGGACCTGGGGTGGGTCTGGAATTTTTTAGGGGGGGCGCCTGGCACCCTTTACCCCTGCGCTTTCCGCTTTAATCGCTGGAGTGAAATTCAGAAACCCGTGGCCCGGGGGTGGCGGACGCCGAGGGGTGCGCGTCCCAGGACGAGGTGAACGATCGACAGGACGCTCTGCGTGACCTTTTACCCGAGGACGCAGCCAGGAGCTGCGCGACGCCGGTCGCGCAGGGTGAACGCACCTCGGCCGGAACGAGCCTCCGCGACCCAGGGGAAATGCACCCTCCGATTGGCCGTCCCGAGAGGGTCCCGCGGCACCCCGAGAGCCCTTCCCGGGATGCGAGGCCACTTTGGGGGCTGAACACGCCGCGCGGGACTTTGCAGCCCGATATGAAGCCACTTCGTACCTAACGTCGCCCAATACCGGCGAAACACATTTTTCGCCTCATCTGTCAGATCGTATTTGGAACGACTCTCCAAATTCGCCCGGAATCTAGTCATGATCAGCTGATCACACGAATAGATATTGATATTATAATTAATTAACAGCGCGGGAGTTTACAGTCCGATATGAAGCCACTTCAGGAATTGAAGCCAACTGATCATGAATTAGAAGTTACCGATACTAATTTCCCAAGAATGAATTTTGTCATCTATTTTTTATTTTAATAGGATATAGACTCGTGAGGTGGCTTCAGGGGTGACGATGAATCGTGGGCACTTGTCATTTGTAGTTAAGTTGTGGTTCTTTTCCCACTACTATACTTGTACCGTGGATCGGTCTGCAAAGATTTATCGCAGCGACTTATCGTTAAGCGTGTAGCCACCTTTAGTTAATGAAAAGTTAACCTAATTGTCGGCACTAGGTTCTAAGGAGCCCCTTATTAAGGCCATATTCCGCGTCATGGTCTGAATTTACGGCGCAGCTTTATGGCCGGCAGCAAATGTTCGATGTAAATAGCAGCGGCGATTAAGTTTCGAAGTATGACCGAAATTACTCGTTTTAAGGGATTTCTCGCCGGTGGTGGGCGAGTCTGCGAGGCGCCTGTCTGCAGACAACACCCCTTGGAGGGCTGTACCGACGAAATCGATTTCTGCGGACCACTCTTAAGGCCAGGGGTGGTCGACCGTCGATTAACTTCTTGTAGACGACTTCTGGGAACCCTACAAACCTGCTCGGTGGATAAAGAAGTAAAAAGCACCTCTAACTCGGTCGATAGCGGAATTTCTTATCATTATATCCGTCGAAAAAGGGCAGGATGTCCCGAGGTGGATAATGCATATCGACTGGAGGTACCTGGCCCGTAGATTACCGACTGGGGAAATTCAAGACAGAGATGAGTTGGGAGATTGCTTACGGGCAGGATCGTGCGATTGTGGGCATTGTCAAATATATTTTACCACTTTATTTATAGTTATTGCTTTATTATCACAGAAAAAGGAGGGGATTTCCACGTGCACTCTAGAATTGGTCACAAAGTCTTCTTCTTGATTTTCAATCGTACTTAACAATGTACTTAATAGTAGTAGATAAGTAGATAAAGTCAAATGGAGTGTCACGACTGTTCTTCCCTTACCATCAAAAGCGAGCAGTATCGGTAAGCGTAGGTAAGCCACCACCGTCAACTGCCGCATGGTATTACCATCACGAGTACGTGAGCCGCCAACGGCGACTGATAGATGGTACCACCATCGCGAGTGCGCGAGCTCCTATCAGAAATTCGTTGCGCCGCCCTTGGGGGCAAAAAACGGTGAAAGCTAACCAGAGGGCAGCACAGGATGCGATCACACGATCCTGCCCGTGAGCAATCTCCCAACTTATGTCTGGGTAAATGGTCTCGCCAAGAGAACGCGAGATTTGAATCTATGAAACTCTAGGTGTAGAAGCGGTTTGACCGAAATGAACACCGAAGGCGATTCTGGGAAGATGGCAAAATTGACGTTTTATTTCTCATAAAGAACAGCTTAAAGTATGGCAATAAGATATACACCGCACTATGTCCATCTACGTCTAAGAACAATGAGATCGACCGGCAGGCCGAAGAAACGGACAAGGGGGATCCTAAAGGAACGTAAAAGGGACGAGAAGCGCGAAGTCCTTTTTCCTCTTCTCACACGCATGCACTTGCCGCGTGCAGACGACCTAACTGCAGAAAGGGAATGCATCGACTCCGACTAACGGGTACAGGAACAACGTAGACTGCCTTGGAGGAGGAATCGCTCCCCTTTCTTTTATCCTTTTCGGACGTAATACAAACGAAAGCTCGCGTGCCGACAAAGCTCGGTTACGACCAGAAATTCGACGGAACGAAGGAATGACCCAAGGGGAGAAGGAAAAGACTTCTGGCGTTTACTGTAAAAGAATATCGATTTGTACAGAGTTGATCCGTTAGTGAGTTAATTAGCTACTGAGTCTTCTTGAGGTATCGTTGTTTCTATTGGTCTATTTTTACCGGGGCCGTGGTCGCGTCGAGTGATTTTCGCATCCTTAAACGCATCCTCGAGCCAGCAAAGAGACGTACCATCTTGTACCATGCTGTACGTCATTGTACATCATGTAAACGGTATACTAGAATCGCGAAAAGAACCCTCGTCGGGTGACTAACTAGAAAATGGAAAATATTCAACAGGAGTGCGTTTAATGATCGATTTAACTCTAAAACAACGACAACCCTATTATGTCCGTGTAAAAACCGAATCGACTGCGACACTTCCAACGCGTAACGGCGTTAACGGGCAATGCCAACTCGCCGCGACCACGGCGGTGTCATCGTTGCCATCCTGTAACAAAATATAAATATCCGTACGCATCTGTCCGACGCCTGGCTGCGCGTTAAAACGCTCTCTATCTAACCCTAATAGAGGCCCCTAATTTATCGACAGGAACGAGCGAGTCTTCGTCGGTACCAAGAGCCGAGACCCTGTCGATAAAAGTGGATTCCGAGCGTACCGACGACGCCCTCGACCTGGCTTAAGCTTACGTTAATAACAGTTGACCATCACAAAAATATCGTTGAACATCTCGTCGCGTGTCGCCTCATACAAATCGCGTGTCGCGCCCTCTCCGTATTGCCGTCTCTCTCCTCTCCCGCTCTCTCGTTTCCTCCCGTTAACGCGTGCCAATCTGAACTTACACATGCACGGAAGTGTACAAGTTGTGTGCCGAATCTGTCCTAAAAGAGACTGCCGCTCCTAGAAATTAATGTACAAGCTTCCTATCAACTTGGTACGCTCCCCAAATGAAACGCCGAACACGTGTCTCTATATACAGGGCGAGTCTCGGTCGCGCCTAAAATGCGTAAAAGGCGAAAGTAACCGAAAACGGGAAAACCACTTTACAGGGAACACCATAACTCGGAGAAGTCGCCAACGCTTCAACAGTCTATGTCAATGAGGACACGCCTCGTCATGTGCGAGACCACTGTGCAGAAAAACGCAAAATGGACAAACGCGGTTAATCGAAAAAAAAAAAAAATTAAAAGGACAAAGAAAATGGACCGCCGAGTTTCTAGTAGAATCCGGGAAATGTCATAAAATATCTGCCTGGTAGAACGCATATTAACACCGTCGAGCTATTCCAAGTGAACCTGGCCTCTAGACGGTTTTCTGTACAGTGCTCCGATAACGTGCCACGGCCCCTCGATAGTAATTACGTACTTGAACATCGGCCTTCCGGTGCACGTCGCGACCCTTTCCGGGGAACGCATGTAAGAAATTACGTGGATTCGCAGCAAACACGTGTATCGCGGCTATGTATAATATTTATATATATTTATAATATATATATATATATTTATGTATAATCGCACGGCAAGGCGGACGGCCTGCCGTTATCAGAAGGTCCTCAAGGGGGCTCCTATCACCTCGTACAAATCCTAGGGAGCGTTCAAGCTCGCGACGCTCTTCTTAACCCTTTCCTATCCCCGGCACCGACTCGCCGTCCCTACGTCGCCCTATAGGAATATATCTATAATACACGGATTGCTCATCGGCCCTGACGAGAGTAGCGTCTCTTCCATCGAGGCTTTAACGAAGCCTCGCCCGCGAAACTCGATTCGCTACTTATAACTCTGTTCTTCTATACAAGTCTTGAATGCCTATTTACGTCATCTCTCCGTCGACGAACCCGGTTGCCCAGGTCGCAAATAGTCCTGGTTAGCCTCGTGCTCGCCTAGAATCGAGGGTTCACCCTCGACGAGTCGTTTAGTCGCGTTTTCTCCTTTCTCCGGTACCTTGAAGAGTCCCAATAACCTCTAAGGAGACTTTCCGCGGGTTCGCCTCGAACGATGCCCTCGAGGGCGGGCTCAAAATGGCGGATCTTTCGGTCTCAGCTGATCCTTTCCTCGGGCGAGCCTCGGCACACTGTCTCGAGCACGAGTGCGATTAATACCCTAGGTATATTTAGATCCATAAATATCTTAACAAGCGTACACTTTAAGTATGTATTAACAGGTCGCTCCGCGGGCGAGCTTCAGTATATCACTTCGTAAACGGTGGCCTTCTTGTCGCCCGAGCCCGTCACGATGTACTTGTCGTCGGTCGAGATGTCGCAGCTCAGCACGGACGAGGACTCCTTTGACTGTAAAAAATAAAAGGAAAAGGGTAAATGTACGTTGATATATAAGCAGAAATATTAGAACGCGTGGGACGCAACGAGGAAAGATCTCAGGAGTGAGACCCACCTGGAAGATGGAGGCGCCGTAGGGAGTGCGCCAGGCATTGAGCAGGTTGTCCTTGCCGGTGGAGACGAACCACTTGCCGCAGGAGGCGAACCTGAGCGAGAGGACGCAGGACTCGTGCAGGTGCAGCTGGTACTTGTCGGGCTTGGTGGCGTGGAGGACCTCGACGTTGGAGTTCTCCATGCCCACGGCGAGCCACTCGCCGGTGGGGCAGTAGCCCAGGGAGAAGATCTGCGAGGTGAAGTCGTGCTGCTGGAGCTGCCGACCCTCGCGGAGGTCCCAGGAGCGGACGGTGTTGTCGAGGCCCCCGGTCCAGAGCTTGGACCCGTCCGCCGAGATGTCGATGCAGGAGGCGCCGTCCGTGTGGCCCTGGAACTGGCGGACCAGCGACTCGCTCTGCAGGTCCCAGACGGCGATGTGGCCGTCGCTGCAGCAGCTGAAGCAGACCTTGGAGTCCGGGGAGATGGCGAGGGCGTAGCAGGCGGGCGCGGAGGAGGTGAGCTCGGCCTTGATGCGCGGGGTGGGGCTGGCCAGGTCCCAGATGCTCAGGTTGCTGGCCTCGCCGCCGACGATGAGAGTCCGTCCGTCCGGCAGCAGCTTGACCGACCTGATGTAGTTGTCCCTCTGCAGGCAGTCCAGCTGGGAGACCGGCTTGGCGCTGCCGGTGCCGCCCTGACTGATGTCCCAGACCTTGACGCAGCCCTTGCCCCCGGTGTACACGTACTTGGTGGGGTTGGAGATGGTGACGGCGCAGACCACCTCGCCGTGGGTCAGGTTGTTGATGGGTCTGGCGTGCCTGGGGATGCCGGGCCCGATCAGGGCGTCCGGGGGGAACGGCACTGGCTGCATCTGGCCCTCGCTCGACACGTGGAAGCTGTAGGCTCTGCAAAGGGTACCACACGTTAGATCTTATTATCGCGTACAATCAATAAAGCACTACACTCATGTTGACCCAACGAACTTAACACATTTTTTAAAAGAAACCCGATGAAACCACTTCAAATCCTAGATACTCACGGTTTGCCCCCGGGGACTCCGAGAGGGCCCAGAGGGGCCCTCATGCCTCCATGGGGGTCGTAGAGTTGCTGAAGAGGGGGCCTCGCGGGGTACCCGTTGAGGGCCCCTGGAGGGTAACCGAGCATGTCCACGTGTGGCCCGGTGGGTGGATGGTGCGGAGGCGGATAGTGCGGGGGGTAGGGCCCTACCGCCGAAGCCGAGACCAGGGGCTTGCTGGAGCTGGGGGGCTTCAGGCCCCCGGAGCCGGAGCTGCTGCCCCCCGCGGAGGTCGGGGTGACCGGCTTCGAGATCGGCGTGGTCGGCTTCTCTCTCTCCTCCATCTTCTTGGCAGAGGGCGTGCTGGCGTTGCTGCTGGTCCCGCTCCTCGGAGAGGGTGGCGGCGCCTCCTTCTTCACCTGGCCACTCATGGGGACCGAGGAGGGGCCCAACTTGTCCAGGCCGTTCTCCCTCGGCGAGGAGGTGCCGTTCGCAGCCGGGCTGGTCGGACCTTCGCTCGCGTCGTCCACCACCAGGTCTTGATCGCTCTTTTCGCCGTCGCTTTGCTGAAGGCGAAACCCGACCGGGGATTTATTTCGCGGGTCTTGGAGTAAGGTGGAGCTCGAAGGTGTATCGGGAATACTTACGTGCCCTATATCCTTATCCTGCTCCTTCTTCATCTTCTTCAGGTGGAGGTGGTCGTGGTGCTGGGGGTCCGGCGTGCTACGCGGCCTGCTGTACTTTTCACGCTCGGCCGGCGATATCGAGTTCCTCTGCAATCAGGAAAATTTGCTCGTTTCAACCCTTTGAACCCTCGACTGGTATTCATTAAAGCTTATTAAGGCTTTTCAAAATTTGTCTAAGATTTCATGCCTCAAAAGGCTTCTCCCCGGCTCTTAAGGTGAGATGAAATTTATTTCTTTTTTAATTAAAAAAATCCATAACTTCATATCTGGCAACTCGATGGTAGAAATCAGGGCGACATGGAACAACAAGTAGGTATACGTATGGAAAGGGGGAGCAGTCTTTCGGGGATGCTCCTGGGCGATGAATTCGCCCCAGGCAGGAGAAATACGGTTATGCACGACCCCTCACCCTGCCCCCCGGTAATCGAGTTAGCGTCTGGCGAGCTCTTAATTTTTACGTCCGCGGGGTAATACGTCTGCCGAGTTGCGCAACGCTCGGGCACTTTCCGATATTGCTTCCCCCCTCGCGTATACCCTCCCCCCATATTGGCCCGGCATGGATCTCGTCCCCTCCAAGGCGTTAATAAATTATATCTCCATCCGAACCACCCCCGGAGGAGCCTACTCTTCTTCGGCAACGAACGGGCCTTCTTGCCGGCGTCGAGGGCGGAACTCCCAAAGTGTATCCAACCGCCGATATCAAACCAATTTTCGATCGCACCCCCAGAAACAATCATCCCAAATCAGCGAGATAAGCCGCCCAAAATTCGCGCTTATCGTCTCGAAAAAAAAAAAAAAGAAGAAGAAAATCCGACCACCGTTCGCCCCCGAAGGGTTCTCGCACCCTGTGGAGTAATTTAGGGGCGATTATTCACCGTAACTTCGACCCCTGTTGCCTCGGACTCGGGGCATTAATAAATGATAAATCCTTCCGACAGACCCACCCTTTAAAAGTGTTCCCCCCCTCCTTCTACTTGTGCAAGGGGAGCGATTTCGGTCGTTTCGTTCGAGCTGGCACCGGAGGGCGGTACGAGTCCCGAGGGACACACCGCGGAAGGAAAGGAGGGAACGGGCCGAAGATCGACTCGGCATCGCTCCATCTCTCTCATACTCCCGCGGCACGGTATCGGTCCGTCCCTCTCTCTCTCTCTCTCAACAGGGTCGGGGTGCAGCATCTGTTAAGGAGTCGGTGAGAATCCGGTAGGTGTGGCGGGGGCGGCGGAGGTCAGAGTCGTTCGGTTGGGGGGGGTTGGGAGGAGGATCGGGGGGACGTAAGTACGGTAGTTCCCGGTTTTCCCGGTAACTACCCCTTCGCACCCCCGCGAGCCGCCCCTCCCGGCGCCGAAGTAAATCTCCTCTTCTCAATTACCTCCCCGCCCCCGTCACGCCCCTGCCCTCGGCACCTCTGGCTCGCCCCATTACCTCGGCGCCCCCCTGCCCCCACCAAACCCCCATCCACCACCCCCGCGCCGGCGCCAACTTCGCGCGGCGCGGACCTCCCGGGAAAAAGCCGGCCCACTTCCGGCCCAAGGCGCTAAGCCCGGCAAATTACCGACTTAGACCCCACGTACCCCCCACCCCTTCCCCCCCCACTGAGGAGAGAAGGGAAACGCGCGAGTTACCGCCGCGATATTGCTTCCGCAGGCTGCCTCCGCGCGGGGGGCGCGGAAATAAATTCCGGAGGAGTGGAATGCCACCGCTGATTTAATCCGGCATCGCGCTCGCCCCCCTCCCCCGCGAGCTTTTCAAAACCTTTCCTCTTATATATCTCATGTCACGGGGAGCAGAGAGAGAAAGAGAGAGAGAGTGATACCTTCTGACGCCTCCAGGATAATTTTCCGGGGGCTCGAGGTTGCCGGAAAAGCACCTGCCGCGAAAGAGCCCTCGTCCAATTTCCCTTTATACCCCGGTTGGCGGAACCCGGTGGGGCGGGGGCAGGGGGTGGAAAAATTGGCACCGGATTTTTTGCCGGCCGCTCGGAATCGGGCCTCGGCATAAAGCGGCGTCGCGGCAAGGAGGCCGCGGGTGCCGCGATCAATATACCGTAGGTAGGTGTACACGGGGGGGGGGGGGGGGTACCAACACACGAGGAGGTGCCGCAGTCGCGGCGCGGCGCGGAGACTCGGGCGGTGTTAGAGGGACGACTTGGCCCGCGGAAAGGCAGGCAGGCAGGCAGGCAACTTGGCGAGCAAGCAAGCACAAGCGGTAGGAGGGTCGGTATTCGGTCGGTGGTTGGAGCCGCCAGGCCACGAGGGTGGTAAGTGAGTGAGCGACTCCTTCCTCGTGGGTACCCACCCCCCTCGCCACTCGGCCCTCCCGCCTGCCACCCTCGCGGATATACCCGCCAACCGCCACTCCCGTCCCACTATCCACCCCCTTCCGCCGCCACCGCCGGCATCTTCGCCGACGGAGCCTGTTTCCCTATTCCTCGCTCCACCGCTCCCTCCCCCTAGCCTCCTCCTCGACGACGACGCGGAGGTTACGAGCCCGAGCCCGAACACAGCGTCTCCCAAGACCCCGCAAACCCCAGCTGGTACAAGATTGCACGCAGGGGCGCTCAACCCCGGTCTTCGCGCCTCCGGTTTGTCCAGGGGCCCCCTCCTCGAAATCAATCACTCGCTCCCCCCCTCCGCCTTGAGAGCGTCCCGCGAGTCGCCGGCGCGGTAATTAATCGGTAAAAGGATAATTAATTAGGGAACGATCGCGCGCGAACGAGCCCCCGGAGTTCCTCGGGCGCGGCATATAATTAAGTTGCGAAACAAGTCGGGGGGAGGGGGCGCTCTTCCCGGTTTTTCTCCTTTCTTTTTCTTCGTCGTTTGTTTGGATTTCTTTTTTCACCTTCTTTCGTCCAATCGACTCTCCCCCCTCACTTTTTTTTATGACCCCGGACGAGGAATCGCCGTGCCGCGGGTCATTTGATTCGGCGCCCCCCGTTATTAATTAAGGGGGTGGGAGAGGGGAGGCAGGGGACAAAAAAAAAATCACCCGCGGCTACCGGCTACCCGGGTCGCGCGGAAAGGCTCAATTTTGCCGGCGATATAGAGAGAGGGGAGGAAGGGGGCACTCGGAATACTTTTTTTTCCTCCGGAGGTATCGCGAGGGGACGATCGCAAAAAACCGCGGCGACTCGCGGAATGATTTAGCGAGGCGTCATAAATATTAGCCCTTGCTTTCTCATCGTCCGATGCGCGTATATCTCTCGTCGCCCGTCCAACCCCTCGTCCGCCCCTCTCGCGGCGGGTCTATCCGCCCCCGACACCTCGGCCCCCCTCCCGTTCCCCCTTCGCCGGCCCTGTCGCTCCCTGCGGTGGAATTTGCATTTTTAAATTAACTCGCCTCTGTTTGCAGCTATCTCGGCGAGGCGGCGCCGGGGGTTTTACAATTTTATGCAACAACGCGTCGCGAGCACCCCCCGACCCCGCCTAAACCGCCCCCCTGCCCCCGAGCCCCTCGGCGCGCGCAGGAAAGAGCGCCGGGGTTATCGATACCGTCATTAAGGGGGTAACCGAATGGAGGCTCCCACTCCCTTAACCCTCGATCGACGCGACTCGATTTGAGGATCGGAACGAGGATGTTCAAGTACCCGATTTTTTGTAAGAGGGGTCGGGGGGTAGGGAACGGCCTTAAGGTTCCGCCATCGAGGGAAATTCGGGCGGGGGTGGGATAATTGAAAAGTCGGGGATGTCTCTTGGTAGCTTCCCCCCCATTTGGCCCCAGGCGCGTCGATGGTGGTTTTTGTTTCCACAGGGGATGAGGATAGGGGGACGGGAGAAGTCTATATACAGATATGGGAGGAAGAGAGAGGGAGAGGATCGGGGGAAAAAAGAAGGTGGAGGTCGTGACAATGCCTCGAAGGCGCCGGCTGACGCGTCGCGTTTAACGAACGGCTTCGTAAAGCCGTGTACACACGAGAGGGGGGGCCCTTAAGGCCGTTGCACGAGGCGGGGGAAAAAGTTAATGGTACCGCGCATGAGAAGAAAGCCGCCGGGAGGAGGGAGGGCCAAGGGGGGTCGTCCGCCGCCGATCGGAGGGCTGATTTATGACGACCGTCCCGGAAAGCCGAGGCGAGCCTCCTTAGGCCGCAGTCGCGTAACGAGCCTTAACTGCTCGTAAGGATTCGCGGAGATACCGCGCGGGATTCACGGTTGCCAACTGGCGCGGCCCTCTGCCGGGACCCGCGGCAGAACACGAGGGTGCGGCCGTAACGGGGCGGAAAGGACGCGGGGGCCTTGAGAAAATTCCCCCCAATTTTGTGGAGGGGAATTAAGTCGAGACGGATCGGGAAAACGTCTATACATAGGCGAGGAAAAAACGCGTAAGGGTGTATATGTAAATACATGTGTGGGAGTACTTGGATGCACGAGAGATAGCGCCCCTCCCTCCACCCTTTTTTCCAGGGCGGGAGGCTCCTATTTCCTGTCTTAATTTATTTACCGTCCGGAGGCGAAGCGTTAATTAAACGCCGGTTAGCCAGCCGGCCGGGTAAGCGGAATATCGGCCGATTAGTCCGGGAACGATTATTCGCACGCCTCGGTTTACGAGCAATCGGCAGTTCTCGGTAGGGAGAGGGCCGAGCGGTATTTTTTGCGCGGAGAGCCGGTCGCGATCGGCGATCCTCCTCCCGGGAGCGAGGGGCAGAGAGAAAGAGAGACGGAGCGCCGCGCCGCGCGCGGGAGGGAGCGAGACGGTGCGAGGCGCGCAGGGGAGGGAACCGGAGAGGCTGGAGCGGGCCGCGATTATTATAAAATATACGCACTCGTAATTACGGGGCGGTCGGCCCGCGGACCATTTTATGGGCGGGCTCATTAAATTACGAACTAATTACCGCGGGGGAATTATTAAAAAGCTCGGTCGGCCGTAAAGCGCCGTGTCGTAAAGGCTGCCACGGGCTGGTCAGCTCTTCCGGCGTTTACCGCGACGGAGAAGGAGAGACTCCGACGGACAACAGCAGGATTAACAGCCGCGAAAAGCATGTGCGAGAAAGAGGCGCCCTTAGATCCCGGGAAAGGCGATCCGGAAAACTTCGCCGGTTTGCAATTAGGCGGCGCAAAGACCCACAAAAGGACCCCCCGCCGGTTCGCGACCGATCGAGGCTCGTCCCGATCGCCCGACCGGCGAAAAAGGCTAGACGAGATAATTAAGCGAAAAGCGCCACGCGTCCGAAGTCGTCTCCTCGCTAAGTCAATAACTCCAGTTACTCTTGACGGAAGTAATCACCCGCGCTGCCTCTAGAGAGAGTCCCCCTGGTCGGCAGGGGGTCTGGGAGGGGACGAGGAAATGTCATCGGGTCGTGCCGGGATGTTTTTAATTAATTAACGTCGAGCCCACCCGCAGATTCGCCGTGTCGCTCTTTCTCAAATTTCCGGCGGACCGCGACGGAAGGGGAGACCAGAGGGTGGTTGACTTTCCCAGAGGAGGAGGGAAGAGGGAGAGAGCCGGAACAGACGGAGAATCGAGGAGGAAAGGGAGACGGCGGAAGAGTATTTAAAAATATTAAATACCGGCGCGCAAGGGGTAGGGGGACGGGGGTAGGGCGGAGGTGGAGGGTAGGCGCGAGCAAAGGGATTAGAGCACCCCGGGGACGCAAGAGGGGCGGAGGAAGGACCGGAGGGGCGAGGAGAACGTTTCAATTAGTAATTAAAACGTGCCGTGGGGTCCTTGTCCCCCTCCCTTGCGTTTTCTTCCCCATTCCCGCCGCCTCGTCCCCCCCCCCCGCGTATCTCGCTACTCCACGACCGCCCTCTTCCCGCCGCCCCCCCCCCCCGCGTATCTCGCTACTCCACGACCGCCCTCTTCCCGCCGCACCCACCCCCACCTCGCCTTCCGATCTTGCCACGGTACAGCGCCCTTCTGGCGGCGTCACCGCCGCCGCCGCCATCTTGTAAATTAATTAATGCGTCCCTAACGAGATCAGAGGTGTCGGTAAGGCAGGGATCGGGAGTGCCCTTCCGTACCCGCGGAGCTACGAGGGTCGCTCGACAAGGAGAGGGGTGGGACGGGGGTTCTGACGGGTGAATTAGTCCGTTCTAGAGCCGAGAGGTTAGGGTAGCGCTGGCATCGTCACCCCCCCAATCCCCCCAACCCCGCCGACACCCACTCGACCCCGGTGGGGCGGCCGAGCCCCGCGCGCTCCGTGTCAGCCTCTGCGATCACCCTTTCAACCCTTTCACGCCGACGCGTCGCCCGCTATCCCGCTTACATAATGCAGCCACTCTAATTAAAATAAATTACACTTTCGCGTCGCCGATTCCCGCTCCCCCCGCGCGCCCGTTTACTTGCACTTTATTCGAGATTTAATTTACCGGGCGGCGGAGCCAACCCTTTTCCTTCCCGGATTTTCGTTCCTTTTTTATTTTTTTACTTTGCGCCCCTCGAGCTACCGCCGTTTCCTCCGTCGGCGTTTTTTCCTCCCCTCCGAGGCGCGACGATGGAAATACGACGGGAACGAGGAAAAACACCGGGGCGAGGGAGATTTGTCTCGCCCCTGAGACCCCCCACAAGGCGAGGGGATCTTACGTCGGATGACGAATGTCGCCCGATGGGTGTTAATTAATTTCCCCACCGCCGGGGGAGGGAGCGCCGGGAAACGAGCGGAAAATGGCCACGACGGGGGAACTTTTTAATTGGGATTTAGTGGGGGGGAAGGTGGAGGGTCACCGTCGAGTTAATGAACGCCCGGGAGGTAATTCGTAACCCGCGGGATATATTTAATTCGGCGGCGGAGAGGGGCCCCATCCGAGTCCTACGTATCGATCCTCGTGGCAATTATTGGGACCACCAAAATCCGCCGGACGTCGATATAACCCACCGACGCGGAGAACTGAAAAGAAGAAGAATAAGGAACTTCGAATTAAACGCGACAATCCCGAGGGCCGTAAATTCGAGTTCTCCCCTCCGGAGGGTGGCCCACAAAGTGCCGCCCCGAACATCGCGGAGGGTGCATTACGCACTCAGCCGTCGTCCCCGGGCCGAAAACCGTAAAGTCTCGGGGGCGGCTCCCCCCCGCCCCCCCAACGAGGAGACATCTCCTTTCGGGGCCGCGAACTAACAACCATAAACTCGTCGAGACACCCCCTCGATCCTCGACAAAACGAGGAGACGCGTCCCGCCCCTCCGCCGAGTACCTCGCCGAGTAGTCGACTACTCGAGTACTCGCGACCACTCCAGCCCCCCGACCTCAACCCCCTCCACGGCGCCCCTCGACGCCCCGCGATATGGATCGGCCATTAAGGAAGAAGCGCGAGCACGTGAAGCAGACGGTAACGTAACGCGGCGGTTCCCGTGATATTCACCCTCGCCATTAGCATTCATATTTCAATTTCATAGCCTTCGGGGTTCCACGGCAGGCAAGGGAAGGGGGGCGGATAGAGTGGCGGGGGAATAGGGGGGCTAGGTCGGGTTGGAACGGCCACGGATACCCATTACCACCTTTGCGCCGTTAGGAGTGTAATAGTCGCCGATTACCAATCCGCCATAATCGCGCGCATTAATCGCCTGCTAATTATTGCTCGCCGGCTGCCGATTGCACTTTAGCCGGGCTCCGGCGAAGCAGCGACCATTTTGGTGACCGCTCGCGGCGCCGCGGGTAATTACCGCGCGAAACGGCCGCGAGGGGTTCCAGGGGGCGAGGATAGAGGAGGCTTTGCCGATTTTCGCGCGTCCAACTTCGCGCCCCCGTGGAGAGAACGCGAGGGGTTATTTTCATGAAAAATAATTCCAACTTCCGAAAACAAAAAAAAAAATTTGGAAAAAACCTAAAAAGGGGCTTCGAAAAAAACTCGAGCCGACAGAAACGCGGTTCAAGAGGGTAACGTCGGCTCGCGAGTACCGACCCGGAAATGTCGCGGCGGGCAGGGGAGGTGGGGAGGGGGTACATTCGCGCGGACTATATAAAGGCCGCGCGCCGTGGCCGGGAGTCAGTGCGCGCGCCGCCCCCGCGCCGCGACTTATTGTCCGGCCTCAACCTAACCTCGAAAACTCGCGCTCGCGCGCGTTCTCTCGCCCGCTCGATCCCTCGCGGCTGCTCCCTCCTGCGCCCCCGTCCCCCTCCCTCCCATCGTCGAGAGCCGCTAACCGCGTTATCGTTTCAGGCAGCTTTTAATAAACGAGCGCTCGCTGCGGAGCTGCTTTATGCCGGTGCTTTTGACGACCGTCGAGCCCGACGAGCTTTTTACGCGCTCGCGTTTTCTGCGCCCGCCCGCGAGAGGCTTTTATATCTCCCGGTTCGAGCCCCCACCGCGCCCTGCCGCCCCTCCCCGGGTTTCCGCTTTCTTCTCCGCCCGCCCCTCTCTGCGCCTCGTCTACAGGGAGAGTCAGGCTAACCGGTGCGAGGCAATCTCCACACCCCCCCCACCCCCCCGAAAACAGCGGCGACAAAGGAGAATTATTCGAGGCGAATGTCGCGCGGAATTTTTCGCTACCACGGCCCGCCGGAATTAAATCAACCCGCGAACTCGCGCGACGACTCGACGCAACACTGGGGACGTAGAGAAAAAAAAGAGAGAGAGAGAGAGACAGAGAGTAAATGTCGCGCGCTTATTTTTTTCGACCCCAGCAGAGATCGGGGAATATTACTCCCCGTGTTTCCTCCCCCTGTGGAAATGGCGTTACCTTTTATATCCGGGGTGGCTCCTCCCCACGGATACGTGGAACACGGTAACGCGGAGATGGCTCGTAACGCCATGGCTGAGTCACCCTGTACTCACCCCCCCCCCTCGTCGATTAGGGGGTATAAGTAGAACCTCGGGGAGATCGATCGAGGGGGGCGAGCGTCTAATCCTTTTTACGACGTGAAATTTTACTGCAGCATCCACGGGAGGGGGAGGGGGGCCTTGAACGGGGGACGACATAACATCACCCCCGAGGCGAAGGTCGGAGGGTGTAGAGAGTTATCAGTAGGGAATTTTATTGGATCACCATACTTTAGGGCGCATGGTGCCCACCATGAATCCCACCCCCCAGGAATGCTAATATTCAATTTGAAGGGAGTTTAATATACGAGTCGACCCCCCATGGCGGTAGAATTCCGAGAAAACCATCCCCCTCCGGTGGTGCCTCCCAAATAAAGCCGAAACTCTTGAGAAGAAAATGAAAAAAAAATATATTCCACGCATTTTCCACGTTGGTAAAAAATCCCCCCTCCCGATGTCGGAGTCGCGGGGGGTGCCGAGGCATCTCGGGGTGGATTCACGACCCCCGGGCCGAGTTTGTCGACGATAAAGAGATAACGGCGGGGAGGATCGTCCGCTGGTGTACTTACATGCCTCTCCTCGGCGGAGCTCAGACCTGAAACACAAAGGGAAAAGAGGGTCAGTGCTCAGCATTCGCAGGTTCTCCGAGAAAGAAAGAGCGACGTGTACACCACATACATATATATATGGGTATATATTACATGTATACATATATACGTGTAAGAATAAAGCGAGGAAAAGGGGGGGCGTATAAGGCGCCCTCTCGCCCCTTGCCCCCTGCGGGGGCAAAGCGATGCGGGGCGGGGGGCAGAAAGGTGGAGCACTCGCAGGAGTTATTCGATTCCGCGCACTCGTACAAGGAGTTCTCGGGCACTCCGAAGAGGAGCCCAGCCCCTCGAGGATATCCGAGAGCAGGAGCTGGAAGCGGAGCCAGAGTGGAGAGAGACGAGGGCCCAGAGACGAGAGACAAGGAGAGAGACGGAGTAGGGGGCGGGGGGAGATCCCAAGGAGAAGCATTATCCTCGCGAAGCCGAGTTCATAGTTTGCCCTCGGTCGATTTCCTTCCAGCCGACCCCGCACCCTCGCTCGCAAATATCCCTAGACACCGTGGCGAACCACCCCCGGCCGATGTGGGGGGGTCGGCAAGAAAGATTCCCCCCCCTTGACAAACATCCACGGATGAGCGTCCACCTTTTTGCCCGACTAGCGAGGATTTCTCTCTCCTTCCGAATATCGAAATCTCGAATTTCCTAATAACGAGTAAATTCACGCATAGGGCTAGGTACTCCCTCGCACGTGGCCAATATTATCGTTGTCGATAAATCGGTCGAAAGGAACGAATTTGGGGACCAGGAGCAAATGCACCCCTCGAGATGAGCGAATTTCGAGGGTCCCTTGCGGAGGAGGTTTCACCCCCTGGGAGACATCTTAACGACGGCGCTCTCTGCGGTCGCGGGGCCCTGCAGGAGCGAGAGGTGGGGTGGCAAATTTACGAGGGGCAGTTTACGAGGGGGCTGGAAGAATTTTCTCATATTTCCCGATTATTACAGAGTCTAAGGGTTGTAGGGTCGGCGCGGGCCCGGCGGGACGCCGTACGCGCCAGATGTATATATGTATACATGCATATATACACATATATATATGTACGAAGGAGAACCTGGGGCACCACCCTAACCTCGGCGGAGGGGGTTAATGCTCCTCATCCCCTGAAACGTTGGCCGGATCGGGGCCCGCCGTTTCCTACGAGCCCCCGTCTCGCCCTCGTAAACGGACGCGGAAGAGCGCGCATAATTCCCCACTAAAACGCAGAAGAGGTCGTTTCCGGGTGCCAGGAGGATCCGAGGGCAACGCCGACTCCCTGGATACGGCCCGTGTCTGGCCGAGATACCCGGGTCTCGGGTTTTAGGCTTCGGGTTTTAGATCCTAGACTTTAGGGCCTAGGGGGTTAACTCGCCGATCTAACGGCCGTCTCATGGACCTTCGCGCCCGGTCTCGTCGTTTTATCGACACCCCCTAAACCGAGATATCACGGCCTGATGGGGTGAAATTAATGTCTAGGGGAAAAAATTCGAAAACGTGGGCTAGGGTAAAAATGACTGGAATACTCGAAAAAAAAAAAAATTACAACCCTTCGACCTGAATGAATTAAAACTCTACTCGTCGCGCCGTTAATACAGCGAACATGGCTGCTATCAACCGAGGTCACGGGTTTTAGGCTTCAGGTTTTATCTCCTCCACTTTAGGGTCCCCAGGGATTAATTCCCAGGTCCAACGACTTCCAAGTGAACCCTCGTGCTCGTCGACTCGCTGCTTTATCTCGACGAGGTATAAACCGAGGTACTGCTAGTGGGGTCCAATTAAATTGGGAAAAAGTTCGATACCGGGAAAAAGACCCGAGGGGTCGGGGAAATAGGGGGAAAGGGTGGACGCGGAGAGCAAGGAAGAAATATCAGCTCCGATTCTCCCGGCCCGTGGGTTTAACGAAAGGAAGACGCCGAGAGGTTCGTGACGGTCGGGCGGAGTAGCGTGAGAAAGACGAAGAGCCTCGCCGAGGTGTGAGAAACTAGGGTTGCAGGGGAGGAATAGGGAGCGGAGGGTAGGGTGGAGAAGTCGGAAGCACCCTCGTGTCGAGAGGAGATTCCGAGAGCTCTCTCGAGCGGAGGAGAGCGAGAGAGAGAGAGGGCGCGACGTGTGATTGTATGTGGGTACGTGACGCGGAAGAAGAGAGGAGGCGGAGAGACCGGCTGAGGGAGAGAGAGAGAGGAGGAGGCCCTCTCGCGACTTTGTCAGCGTTACTTGGCTACCAAGTGCGAACGCTCTGGCTGCATCCTCGTGCCCCGGCAAATCGAGGACGCGTCTTCGACGTCGCCGAGAGTGGAGCCTCTCCGGGGGAAGAATAATAAGAGCCGCGTTTACGCGGCAGACCCGCCTCGAAATCCGGCCCGAGCCTTATCCGAGCTCCAGATAACGATAACCGGCGACGAGCGGAATAAGTCATGGTCTTGCAGAAAGTGCAAGAAAAAAACGTTAGCAAGACCTAGACCCGATCGTAGTCGCACTTTTTGCCGGGCCAAGAGTCGATGATAGTTGGACTTTTCGTGATACCAAAACCAGATGATAATTTCATTTTTCGCGGGATCAAGACTTGACAACGATTGCACTTTTCTCAAATACCTAGACAAGATCAGAGTTTCACTATTTGCGAGACCAAGACCCGATCAAAATTGCACGACCAACCCTCGAGTACTCGAGAGCAAGACCGGGTACGAGATAATCTCGATCTAGGTCTCGCATTTGCTCATCGCAAACGACAACGACGGCGAGTAACCTGTCTCCGTCTTCCGGCCGGCAAACGAGACGAGAGCAAGGTGTCTTTCGCGGAAAATCGCCCCTCGCCCTCGGAGGCGGTTGGCGATAGGATACCCGGAAGAGGGTATGAAGCCGGAAACGGGGGGCAGTGGGGGCTCCGATTAGATACCGAAATCTTCGTCTTCGAGGAAGACGGTTAGAGGAAACGCTGACGGGACGGCTTCCGCGAAAGCAGCGTTGGCCGATTTAGCGGATCCGCCACCGGATCTGGCCCACTCGAGACCGCGGACGAGGGTCGAGCGAGTCCCGGGGGAATTATCGCGACCGAGATACCCCCGGGAATCGCACTCCATCCCCTCCGCTCAGCCCAGAGAATCGATTTTCCCGCTGGTTCTGTAAACGAGTGGCCGAGAAAAAAGAAAAAAAAAAAAAAAAATCACGCCTCCCCCCGCGGAATGAATTTCCCGATTATCGTGTAATTATTTCGCGGACACCCCCCAGAGCCCCCGTCGCGTTACAAAATATTTACCCCGAGCCGTGCGGAACGAGATAACGCGGCCGGGCAACAAATTTCGGCCGGCCAATGTTTCCCCCGTACGAATTGCGCACACATTGGACATACATTTAACATGGCCCCCGTCTTCCTCAAACATTTCGGGAATTTCGTAATTTATCGAGAGGAGACTCACCGCCGTTGGGCTTGAGGTCGTCAGGCTGTCCCCGGTGGAGGTCGGGTTTGGCCAGCATGGAGAGAGGGTGAGCGCCGCCCCCGCCGGAGGTACCACCGGCCCCCGGGGGTAGGCCCAAGCCTAGAAGAGCGGCGGGGGCCGAGGTGGGCCCCGGGAGGCCACCGGGCCCCAGGCCCGGCAGACCCGGCAGTCCAGGGTGCGGCACCAACCCCGCGGCCGGGGTCAATTGCTGCGTGGTCATCTGCTGCGTGGTCATCTGCTGGGAGTGCATCTGCTGCAGCAGCCTCGGCAGGTCCGGCCTCTGTTGCTGAAACAGAGGGGATCGTCCGATGAATTCCCACTTACCACGGCGGAAATTTACGTAGACATGCGAAAAAGTATTCCGAAATACGCGCAAAATCCGAAAAACGCATACATCGACCTATGTTAATTGGCTGTTCAACCCCTGTTGCATTGCATTTGCCGTGCCAATGCATGAATTAATATAGAACTACCGCGTGCTTAGAAATGATCTGCGTTTACGGGCCCTTATCTAACACGCTATGTCGAGGGGCTTAAGCACCGATAAGAGGCGCGTCCCGCGCCCCGACCGCCAGATAGCGCAGCGAAGCGCGGCGCTCAGTCGTTGCCGAGCCGTGCAGCGAGGCGGTCGCAGCCCCGCGCCGCGTCCCGGGAGAGCGGCTTCCCGAGATAATTAAATGGCTTAACGACGTAACGAGCCCGAGCGGCGCGCGTCACCCGGCCGCTTCGTTCTCGGCGAGAGATTCGGGAAAGCGGGGGCGGATCGGAAGCTCGCGCTCAGCCGGAAATGCTCGGGCTTCCACTCTACACAATAATCCCGCGCCTCGCTGCCTCGCCCGCGAGTCTATTTCCACGGGAGACGTGCTCGGCGGAACTTCTCCCGCGGCTTCGCCTCACCCCCGTCCTCTCCGCCGGCGAAGTTGGAATATCGACCCGGATTGAACGGCGAGCGAGCTCCTCCCGAAATCCCCCCCGCCACGGCCGAGAGCGCGAGATATCTCGATATTTGCGGCGCCGAGATAAATGCAATTTATCCGGAAACGCGGAAAAATAGGGGTACGGCCAGAGGAGGAAGGACGAGGCACGCTCAAATCCGAGATTTCCGAGGATTCGCGAGAGACTTCCTCATTTTTCCCGTCCCTTATGTTTGACTCCCTTTATCTCGCGAAATTCCTCTAAGGGCAAAAAACCCGATTCAGACCGACAAGCGCAGTCGGCCGTCCGAGAGGGTCGCCGGAGCTTTCCTTTGAGGGGTCCCAGCAAAGGAGGATCCCTCCCGCCCCCCGTCCTCGATGACAAACCCCGGCCCCTCTCAGCCAGTCCGTTCTCCAATTTATTCTCCAATTCGGCTCCCCTTTTTCCTCCTCCGGTGGGGGGAGGCTCCCCCGGGACGTATACGGACGCGCGGCCGTCCTGGCGCGGATAAAGGGAGCGAGCGAGAGGGGGAGTTAAAGGAGGCAGGTTAAGAGGAGCCGGAATCCGGAGATCCTGCTAAGGATTTGCCGCACGTAGACGACAACGCCGCGGATCCTCCGTAGTTTCCCCCGTTCCGCCGGCCCAAGAGGAATGCTGATTAGTCGGCCCCCCCGTTCCGCCGACCCTTCGCTCCGTCCTCTTCCGGCGCGCCTCCGTCCGTATATATCCGTCTCCCTCCACCCTCTCGCCGCGGGAAGGCGCGCTACATAACGGAATAACCCATCCGGCCGAGACCCTCTTAGGAACGCAGGAAGACTCCGGATAAGACTGGCGGCGGGGGATGTCGGAGGCTGGAGAAGCCGGCGGCTTAATAGGGAGGAAATTGAGTGCTCGAGCAATATTGAGGAGGATTCGGGATTCTCCGGGATATCGCGGGTAGAGCCGGGGGCCGGGGGCGGGGAACGTATCCATCCGACTCGCGACGCCCCCCCGGGTCTCCTCGACTTCGCGATGCCGCCGAGGGCTCAGCGGCTCTCAGACCAGCCAAACCCCGGATCTCAAAAAATACGGAAAACAAACCCCGTTGGAAAAAAATGTCATGGAGCCAAGGAAATATTTATTCAAGCGATAGAAAAGAAACGTTACTTTATTATTATTTTTTTTCTTAATCCGAATAAATTCGATGCAACATTTCATTGCAATTTTTTTGAGAGTCCACTTTAGTCGAATACTTAATCCTCGAATTAGTAAAATACTTTATTGGTACCGTTCGAAGGAACGTTTCATCGGTTCGATGAATTTCGTTTTTCCTCCTTGTATGATACCGATTGTCTATTTATGAATCACAGTCGGCGGTGAAAAGTGTCACTTACCCCGATTATGGCGTTCAGTTCCGGGCTGGTGATCTGCTTCGCGCGTTCCATGGCCGTTGCCACTTGCTGCTGGTGTTCCTGGGACAGGAACGGCAGGATCTGGACGATGAGCGCGTTAAGGCGCTTCGTTATCTCCGCCTGGAAGTGAAATTGGCTCCGGTTAATCGGGTCGACGGGAGCGGAAATTAAGCCGGCGCGGAAACCGCGCGCGTGTCCCTGCGTACGCGCGCGGTTACGCCCGCGCCGTGACGCGATAATGCCAGGCGTCGCGACGCGTCGCGGCGGCGGCGGTAGCGGCGGCGTTATGCGAGGCGCGAATAATGCCGGCAAACACGAGCGCGGTGCGGAAACGTGCCCCGGATGGCTGTGCAGGCTCGCGGAACACGGCCGGAGGAATGGGGCCCGATTTACATGGGAAATCCTCGGCGAGCAAACAGGCGAGCCCGTCGGCCCACCAAGATTCCTGCGAAATCGCCGATTAACCGTGTGCAAATGGAAAATCGTGCGCGATCGCCGATACATCGTAACGTACCGCGCCCGGAAATCGCAACGTACACCCACGCTTTCCCCCGGAACGTCTGACGTCGGCCATTCGACGTTACGTCAAAGACGCGTTTCTTATGGCACGGGAAATTTCCTGCAATATACGTATACATGTATATATACATACGCATATATACGATAGGGTTAGGTTGGGTCAGGGGAGAAGGGAGGAAATTTGGCTACCGCAAACACCCGCACCCAGATATAGAGAGAGAGGGAGAGGAGGCAAGGAGGGCAGATATAACACGTGCGTAAATAACACGGGGCAGCCTAACCTCTCTTCCCCGCGGGCGGTGTTTAAACGAGCGGGGAGTCGCTAATTGAAATATCGCGGCCACTAAAATTCTTGGCAAGTTTCCCTCCCCGGCTTGGCGAGGAGACGGCGGTGGGTGGGGGAGGGCGAAGACAGGGGCAGGGGGGGGAGGGGTGGCGCGAAGTTGTTGTTTTAATTACCCGTCGCCCTCGGAGTGGTAGTCATTAAGCCACTAATTATAACGTACGCGAAAATGAGTCGAGCCATCCGCGAGCGCGGAAGTCGGCCCCCTGTAGGAGGGGGACGAGAGGGTGCGGTAGGGGGGGCAGGGTCAGGGAAATCGCGGGGGAAGGGGGACCCCGGCGAACGAGAGGGCGGCCGTCGCTGCAGACGTAATTGCGTTGCCGGAGAAGTTTTCCCCGGGTGAGAGGTAACCAAGAAAATAATGAATGGGGTGCAGCCGAGGGTGGCTTTCAGGGCTGTAGTGCCGCGACTCGGGGGGCCCCTCGACCTCGCCGGACGAGACCCCCTCCAACCCTGCCCCTCCTTTTTCCGCCCTTCCCCTGGTCCACGGTCTCCATGCGAGACGACCCCGAGAAGCGCCCCGGCGCTCGTGCACCCCCCTTGCGCCATTGTTGGCGCCGGCGTCGCGGGGGGCGCGAGGGGCTTGCGATGGCCCCATTTCGCCTGGACCCCCGCCCAACCGAGGGACATCCACCCCCTTGTCATTAATCGCGGTGTTAATTGGCACGATTACCCCTGAAGTTAGGAATTGATTCCCAGTCCCTTATCTCAATTATTCGAGACCCCTCCCCTCCCAGTTGCCCCCCTCTTTCCCCGGGGCTCGAAATACCGATCCACCCCAACGACGCCGCCAGGGAGACCCGGCGAAGTGCGCGGCATGAAAATGCGGAGCGACCAAGTGCGCCGATAAAATTCCTCGCCTGTAAAACGGTGACGTGAACCGAATGCCGGATATATCCCGGATAGTCGCGGGTGTCCTCTTCCTCTCGCTCTATCCCCCGGCCGCCTGCCCGCCGCTCTCTCGGTCGCGCCTCTCACCCTCGGCGCCCCCTGATGCCCCGATACCTCGATAATCCAATACCCCCCAGGAAGTACCGCGAATCCTGGAGTACGAAGTGCAGCGTCGTACCGCGCGAAGGCATCCCCCTCCCTCCTCCCCCTAGCCCCCTTTCCAAGGAAGAAGCGCCGGCACGGCCGTAAAACGCGGGTGCTCGATCTCCCGATATCGACACCTTCGGGGGCGACCCTCTCCCATTTGCCCCCACCCCCCTGGGTTGGGTGAGTCGTCTTGAGATATCGCGAGATGCCCCATACTTGTACATCCATGTCTTGGGTGTATAGGTACCTAGTGGAGGTAGAGTGCAGTTGGGATTACGATACGCCCGACTTGTCCGGCCGAGATAATTACTTTTTACCCGCCCAGCGACAAACCATTGTTCTTACGGCGGGAGGAGCGACGAGGGCGAAGTGCCATTTGTCGACTCGCAACTTTATCCCCGGCGAAGTGCCCCCCGCGGGTTCCTAGTTTCTTGCCTTGGGCAGGGGGACGAGACCGCGCGGTACTCGCTACGGAATGACCGCCAAAATGGCCGTAAACGCGGTCGCCGATGCGCTTATCTTTCCTCCGACCCCGATAAAAGGGGAATCAATCAAAGCGGATATAATTGGCAACAGGTTAAACCGACTCCGATGGGCCGCCGCGGGTAATTACGTAACCGTGCACCAGTTACCCAACGGTTATTAGAATCGAAACGGAAACCGGGCTAATTAATGCGAAATGCCCCTGCCCATACGCCGGCGCGCACTTCGCTGCCGTTAATTAATATAATTTGATATGCGGCGATAGGCGCCCCGCGTCACGGGCTATTTAATTAGAGCGTTGCTTGAAGCGGAGCAACGCCGGGACGTTGCGGCTCGCCCGCGGGTCACTTTCGGTTTCGACCCCGTCCGACGCGACGCGCCGAAAAACGCATTCGAAAATTATGACGATCTACTCGGGTCAAATAATCATCCTTGAAATTAATTAAAATACCTCTTTCGTTCATTGAATTTTTTTTTTTTTTTTGGGGGTTTCTCAAGGTGGAGGTATAATCGTCCGCTAGGAATTTTAGCGAATGTTTGCACGCAGTGGGCACTATCGGTCGCGCGTAAATAAACGTCCAGTCTATATCTCGAGGCTTTTTATTCGCGTCGGTCGACGAAGAGACGGCGCCCAGGGCGAATGCGAGACCGGCGTCCGAATGGAAACCCACCGAGGCGAGATGACCCCCTCGCCGCCCGACGGTCTGGGGAGCCGACAAAGTTTCGGCGTCGGTTCGGTCGTCGCAGGCCGACTATCCGCTCGGCCATCTGTGTGCCTCCCTTCGGGCCGTCCGTTTGTCCCTATCGGGACCACCGGGACCGCCGGACACAGACGGCGTCCGCTTTGTCCGGGCGGTGCGCGCCTTGTGCCCCCCCGTGTGTACACGGGTCCGCGGCGGGTTCGTTTCCGGGCTGCCCTTCTGCGCGGTCGGTAACGACGTATCGACCGACCCCTCGGTGCGCTTTTCACCTCCGGGCACCGCTTTCCCCGGAAACTAATGAATCTCCGTGACGGCTCTCGATCGAGCCCCGACAATGGACGCGCGGAGTCGAAATCTGACGATAAGTCGACGAGAGAATTCGGAAAGACCAAGGAAATGGGGAAAAGGCGCGAGAAATCCGTTCCTAAGTACTTGTCCGCGATTCATCTCCACGTTCATTCTCCCGCTAAGGAGATGCCATAACATACTCCACCCCAAAGTCGTGGTACCCCCCCGGCGTTATTAACCGGAGGGCACGTCTCGGACATGAAACCCCGAGGGATGAAAATAAATCGGACCGAAGTTATAAGCCCATAAACTGTGCGGCCGGTGTCGAGAGGGGCGGCGCCGTTCCCGAGACGCGGCGGGGGCGGAATCGAGGGGGGCCAGATTTACGGCGAGGGGCCGGACGGGCGAAAATTGCTCGTATAAATATTTGAGGGGGCCCCCGAAGGCCGGCCTCCTTATCCGGCCGATTTTCCGCTAAGCCGGACGCGATCTGGGATTATACTGGAATTTTTCAATGCCAACTGGACGGTGGATTAATTTCGAATTTAATCATTCCCATCTACCCCCGCTCCCCAAGATCCGCGGTCACGTGAAGTGATAACGTTCCACGATCCACCTGGAATCTGCTTTTTCGCGAGACGGATAAGGGTGATCGAAACGGCGCACATGGAACGTGAATTTAGGGGGGAACTGCCCCCCGTGGCCGGGATCGTCCAAGTCGCAACGACGGCCGGCGGGGTACTTGGGCCGTATTAATGCAGAGCGAGGGGGAAGCCGGTGGCGGGTAAACACCACGCAATCAATTCGGTGCCCATCGGGCGAAGTCTCATCGGGGTACTTCGAGTGGTCTCTCCGTTTAGGGGTCGGAGGAGGCAGAGACGGTCGAGGGGGAGGGGGTGGAGGCACTAGAGGCGCTGCCATTACGAGAACTGCGGGCGTTGCCGCGCATTACAATTGCCAGTGGAGGGCGACGGGGGCGGAAGAGCGAGAGGGAGAGATGTCATGCGGGGGATGTGAAGTGGCCCCGGGAGGTCGGGAGGGGGCGGGATAAGTGGTCCTCGAGTCGCGGAGGAGGACCGACAGACGGCGAAAGATCGGGATGTTTGGATGTGTTTGAACTTCGGAGTGCCGCGTCAGCACTCGAGTCTCACTTCGAGTGCGAAGAGAGGACCGTCCCGCCCCGACCCCAGCCTCTTCAGCTGGTCGCACACGTGACGCCATGCGCGGCCAGACCGTACGTGGGACTATGCGACCGTTCCCCCTTCGACAAATGGCCGACGTCGGAACGACGACGGAACGACCTCGGCGAGGCCGGGATATATCCCAAACGTCCGACCCGTCCCCCTAGCGCCGCGACTTATTTACCGGCGGGATCGAAAATCGCAGGGAGATCGTTAACGCGTTTAATCAAGCGGCCGGATTGCCCGCGGAGCGAGGGGCGAAAGAAGGCGGCCGACATCCGCAATCTTGTTTGCGCCGCCCTCGGCCCCCCCGGGCGGCGCAATTAGTCTTGCCGCCCCCCCGAGATTAAGGCCGAGGGATCGATCGCGCCGGCCGCCGCGAATTAGCGGCACTCAGGATATTAGACGCCCGCCGGAAGAGGCCATTAAAGAAACCGGAACGACGACGACGCGCGAGTCCCCTCGACGCGGCCATTACTCCGCCCCTGGCGAGAGGAGAGATCGAAGGGCGACCACCCCCCGCGCGATCGACCGACGCCCGCGGATTAAACGGCGGATTGTTTGTTT